CCCGCCTGCCTCTGATATAGATGCGGGGGTGGGGGGGGAGAATGCAAGTAGTTGACTCAACTACCCGATAAGCCTAGGGTTATCGAGTAGTTAAATAGTCGACTATTCTTTTACATCCCTAGTTAATGACCATTTGGAGGGACAGAGGGTTCTTCATAGTGCACCTGGCCACTCTGTGAAATGCATGAAGCAGAGCTGATTAGTGATAACGGAAGGGTGGCTGGGTGCTCTGAGCAGTGTGTTTGAAACCTCTTCTCCTCTGCAACACTTGCTCTTCTCTTTTGTGGCTCAGTTCTGCTTTGGAGATGGCACCTTCAGCCATAGTTGGAGGTGAAAGCAAAGGGTTCCATTTCCAGGGCCTGTTCAGTCCTTGGCTTTTCAGCTGAAACTACCACAAAGGGGCCAATTGTGATCATGGTTTTTAAGATGCTGGGATGGGACTGAGACCCACCATGATCAATCCCCATGAGCTGCTCAACAGCTGGTAGATTGTTACCTCTAAGCTAGAGTTTGAGCAGTAACATAATGATGAAAGGTTCCATATCCCTGAACCATCCAGCATCTCTTCATTTTTCCAGCTTCCTTGGAGACTTTTTCAAATAGTGAATAGTATCAAAACCATTTGTGTAGCATAAGGCCCGGTCTACACTACACCTGGAAGGTTGGGTTAAGGTACGCAACTCTAGCTGGAGTTGGCATACCTTAACCCGAGCATGGTGCCATCATGCCAACAGAAGTAAATGCTCCTGTTGGCTGCCTTTACTCCTCGCGACTGTGAGGAGTACAGGTGCCAGCAAGAGCTGCCCTCAGTATTTGATTTATGGGTCTTAACTAGACCCTCTAAATTGAACACCAGAAGAGTGATCTCCATGGTGGCCAGTGAAGACATGCCCTAAGAAATAATTTTGAAATACTATATCCATTTCCACTTATCTGTTTGGTTCGCATTGCTGTTCCCTCTTCCGTCCAGCTTAGTTATTTAACCCAAATGCTGTATTTATCTCTTTCTACCTTGCATGTTAATTGTAGGTTAGTTTTTGGGCAAGTCTTTCCAACTTACTAGATGTAGGAAAGCACTTCCAAAAATGAATGGAACCACAGGCCTTAAATCTATAAATCCTAGCTGTGATGTCCATTGAATCACCACATAATGGATTTTCATTTTATTACAAAACCAAGTAATTGGCCTAATTTAAAAAATGTTCACTTGGTCTCATCTTCTCTGAACAGAGTTCATGTCAGCATCAATCCTAAGCAGAACTTCATCTTGAACTCTGGAAAAGAACCTCTGCATGCACATCTTTCACTTGGCCAGCAATGAACTGCAGAGCCAGCCGAAAGGCAGCTGGAAAATGCGGCAGGCCTTGGGAAATAGCAGCGTAGGTAACAGCACAGAATGTTGCTAGTTGAGTAAATCTTTGTAATGGGGTTCCTTGAACAGTGGAAATCAAGAAAATGATTTTAAGTGGAGCCGAACGCCAGGCTGTTTTTGCCGATCTGCAGTTGGGCCTTCGTTTAACATGGAGCCACATTTCCAGAATTGGCTCTCGTTTTTGGTTCCCTCAGCTATTGGGTGCCTAATGTGGATACGCACTAGGGCT